CCTAGCTAGTTTCACTGCCTACAGAATCACCACAATAATGCTTATTTTGTATGTGTTTTTTAATCATTTGAAAGTCATTTAGGGCTACCAAATGTAATTGCTTGATCCTATTTTAATTTACTTGCTGAAATGGAATATAATAATTAAGCTTTGACTCTAAGGAAGATATTATATGGCAAAATTAATAGTTATGACTCAGGCCTGAATATCTAACTAGAAAGCGTTCTCAGGATAGCCATGTGTAGGTTAAAAATACACTGTAAGTTGGATGGCAACAGACCATCCAGAAATCCCTTCCCCAGCCTGTGCTTCAGATACACTAGGAGCGATCGGGGTATTGTAAGAATGAAGGGTTGGTGGCATCCTTCCCACGTTTAGCCTCACTGTTTTTCCTGTCTCTGCTGGTGGGGGGGCACTAATGATTTTTACTCAGAATGTTAAAATCACCCCAGATTCAATGAGCATTACAGCTCACAACTGAAGTGCTCCCCATCATAAACTCCTCTGCTTTCATTCACGCTCAGAAAAGTCATGCTCTGAGATTAGAGTTCATGCACTCTGAAAAGGAGAGCTTCATACTATTGCTTCTGCATTCAAAATGGAAAACCTACTTATTTTCAGAACATGCTTTAAGGCACCAGTGATGATTTCTGACCTGATGCCAAGCAGTTCACAATTTAAAATTAAAAAGGAGAAAAAAAAAGATGGTTATTTCTTTCTCTTGGTGATTTCAGAATCTCTTCTTTTTAAAAATGCTCTAAAAGCATTCAATGACTTACTAAGAATGATATTTCAGGTGGCCACCTCCAGATAGGAAATTCTGATTCCTTTTTCTGTTTAATGGTTATAGACAATATAAACTCAAGTGTTTAAAGAAAAGACTGCCTTTGAATTTAGAATTCAAATGTTGCATTTTATTTTAGGTTTCTGAAATATTAACATCTCTATGTAACTAAATATCATTTCTCTTGGAATTATAAAAGGATGATCAACTTAATTTGGGAAATTATGAACAAAATACATTTAACTATCACTATAATGCTTTTTTGCAGGAGAGCAAGATGCTGTAAAAATTAAGATCATTTGGGGTCTTACCCAGGAGTAATTAGCTGCTTAGGTACTCAGAAGTCTTCATTACAAACTAGTCTCTTCTGTAAAGCTGGCTCTGAAGGAGAGTAAATTTGAAAATGTTGAGAAACCTCAGAAATGCCACAAAGAGCATGGCATAGGTAAAAGCAACTAGAAACAAAAGAACGATAACATAAGGTTCGCCCTGAGCATCTTTCACTGGGGAGATGGGCCTGAAGTAGAGAGTTCTGTTTATACAAATCAATAAAGCTTGAATTTTTAACAGAAACATATGGGAGTATTAATTATACAGACATCCCGCAGAGCATGCAGATAGGTCATAGAAACCAATGTTGCCTGAGAGCACGTGCTCAGTAACTTGATGTTCAGAGTAGGCACCTTTGTCCCTGGGAAGGAGAAAAGAATGGTGATCACAACACTGAAGAGAAAAATGAGGAAGGAAGGACTTTGCCTGTGTTTGGACTGAAGCCCTGTGCTCACATTTTGATGTCTGTAAAGCCTTCATGAAATGAAGTGGGTACTTATTACACTCCCCAAAGACTCAATATCTTTGCCTTTTTCCTTTTCTTTTTCTTTCTTTCTTTTTTTTTTTGAGATGGAGTCCCAGTCTGTCACTCAGGCTGGAGTGCAGTGATGCTGTCTTGGCTCACTGCAACCTCTGCCTCCTGGGTTCAAGTGATTCACCTGCCTCAGCCTCCTGAATAGCTGGGATTACAGGCACCCACCACCATGCCCAGCTAATTTTTGTATTTTTAATAGAGACAGGGTTTCACCATGTTGGCCAGGCTGGTCTCGAACTCCTGATATCAGGTGATCTGCCCACCTCAGCCTCTTAAAGTGCTAGGATTATAGGCGTGAGCCACCGTGCCTGGCCTCTTTGCCTTCTTTTTATGCATTTTCATCTTTAGCTAAAATTATGTGTGAAATAACCTCTTTGGAAGCTCTGTCAAAGTACACTATGAGAAATCCCCTTTAAAAGAGAATGGATTCTTATCTCTTGTAGGGAGTATAAATACCTTCAAGGAGGGCCTCTACCTGGAAGACTTCCCACCACCCTTGAACTCCGTGGCTGGTCAGGATCCATCAGCTTCTTCTCAAGCGACTCAGTGGAGAGAGCAGAGCAGTTTGGGCTCCAGATTGGAAAGCGTGGCCACCCCCCAACACTGCCATTCAGAGAGGCCTATGCATAGCCTGCAGCCCTGACACCACAGCGCTGCCTTCAGTTAGGAGAGCAGAGATTCTTGGGACCCATGGATGAAAAAGAAATGACTATCCTTTGTCTTGTCTTTTCTTGGTCAACTTAGCAGAACATCTGATGTGGAGTCTTTGTACCATGACAGGAACCACCACAGATGCCTTCATGTCAGCTCAAGAGCTTGTGTCCTGACCTGCCCATTGTTCCAGCTCTCTGCTTCCTTTCACTGCTATTTATTGCACAGCTCACTGTGTTCTCCTCTCCAGCTGCTGCCACCATTCTCCTGAAGCCACTCTTAAATCAGCAGCAATTTTTTCTTGTTGCAAAAGCCAGGAATTCCTTCCAGTAAGCCCAATGAAAGCAGCAGCTCCTGTGTGTGCCAGCCACTGTGGTAGGCACACCGTTTAGGCCTTGTTAGTCTTCATTGCATCGGGCACTGCTCCTACCTTCTAAGACCTCTCCTTGTCTTCTGTGATAATGCATTGTGGGCATATTCCAACTTCAATTCCAGTTCCTTCATTGGCTCTTATTTCTGCCCCACCCCTTGAGATTGCATCTTCCCCTGTGGTGTGTCTTTCACCTTCTTCTTGTTCACGCCTTAAACCACCTTGTCTGCTCACATCTCCTTGGCCACCAGTGTATGTAGGTGGATTTCCAGATCTGATTCTTATTTCTAATTCCCTACTGGACATCTCCACCTGCTATCAAACTAAGCATGTCCAAAAGCATTTCCATTATGCTTATGCAAAAACACTTTTGCCCCCAAGTGTTTCTTATCTTAGTGGCTTTTTCATCTATGGGGTCCTCCCATTCATCTATGAATCTCCCCTCCATCTTCCATGGCAGATCGGTGAATGGACCCTCTCAATTCTTCCTCATCGACATTGTGGCTCTTCCTCCTGTTCTCCAATGCCTCTGCTTCAACTCAGGTGCTTCGGGTCTCTCTCGCCTTTGGATTTGCACAATAGCTTCCTGCCTCCCTACATCCAGCCTCTAGCTCTTCCAGTCCCTCCTTCATAAACAACCACCAGAACAATCTTTCTGCACCACAGCTCTGATTGTGTTAGTCTCTAGTGAAAAGCTTCCGATGGATCCCAACTTGGCAGAGTAAGCCACAACCTTCCAATCCTACCCTACCATTCTCATCTCCACCAAACCCACCACATTCTCATTTCTAGGCCTCTGTGCATGTATTAGTTCTGCAGCTAAAACAGCCTCTTTTGGCCTCTTTGCCACTTAGAAAATGCTTATTCATCCGTTAAGAGTCAGCTCAATCACCCCTAGCAGGCAGTCAGTGTCTTTTGAATGAATGAATGAAGACTAGCCCCACTCTGTCATGCAGAGTAAGGCTGATTCTGTTCACTATCCTGGAGGCATGTTGTTCCTATTGCTTCTGTCACATTTGTCAACATGGTAATTGTAGCTGTTCTTCCTACCAGACCTAGCAGGCAGGTCCTTGTGCGGCCCCTGGGCTGCCTCTTCCTCTTCTTCCCCCATGGCAGACATCATTCCCAGCCCACTTTTCCACTGAGCTCAGACACAGCTCTCAGAATCTTTCTCAACACAGTACTTTGAGCAGACTGGTGTTTGCACACAGTTTGAGGTCTGTGTAACATCCCTCAACTAGACTCTGAGCTTTTCCAGTGACAAGCACAGTGGGCTGCCTAAAGCAATGACTCAATTGCTGAATAAATAACAAATAGATTTTCTTCTTAATATTAGTTATGTATTGCTTTGCATTACAGATTCATGGCAAAAGATAAGTGAGATGATTTACTGAAATCCACTGTGATGCTTTGCAGGAAATTTTTCAAATACACATTGAGTTATTCAAACTATCACCTGGGCTGCCCCAGCCCTCTCTCTTTACAGAGTTCAGACACTGCTTTGCTTTAAAATCAGCACATGGCATGTGATTTCTTCTAGCCTGCCTTTGATGTGTCTTGCACATTTTTAAGAAGTGGTTGGAAGAAGCATTAAAACGAGTTACTAACCTTATATTTTATTTTCATAATCTCTCTTTTTGGCAATAACAAAGGAAAACTGATGCATCTGGGGAATTTTAAAACTGGTTAAAAAAGCACTTCAAGAGAGCGACTTTTTCATATACTGTATATAACAACAAATATTAAATAACAATACTCTTAGTAATCCATTGTCTTTGAAACAGGTGTAAGTCTCAAAAAGATGTTGTGTCAACACAATCAGGAAACTGTGGAACACCCCTCTCACGGCTCAAATAAAAGATGCAGTCGCAGTCTCATCATTGAGTTCAATGAGTTTCACTCACACTATCCAATTAAAAGCCTTCTTGAATTCTAGTCACATTCCAGAATTTAAAACTAGAACATTGGAAACTATAAATGAAGAAATCAAGAACGTTTCTATTTTTTCCTGATTCCCTTAATATACATAAGATGGCTAGTTGTTGAAAGTTCAAAGCGGAAGTTTCTTGTGTCAGTCCTAAGACGATGCAGTGCAGTGAACAGAGTGATGAGAAACAAAGAAAGGGGCCTGTGAAAGCCTGCAGCAGTTTCTAAAATAACAGTGGCTCTGCATCTTTTTATACCTGTGAACCCAATTCTTTTGTGGCATCTTTTATTTTTTAATGAATTTATATTGTTGGGGAATTATTGAAATTGTTTCCTCTCTCTCACCTTTTATGTGTTTTCTCTCCCATTATGTTCCCACCTGTCTTAACTGGAAAATCCACCAGGCTAACTGTCAGGTAGGTTCTTCTTGCTGTTTAGTGTGATTACTAGTAGTAAACATAGAGAGAAATGAAGTAAACAGACCGTTGGTGACTGGTGATGAATGATAAAGCTAAACAGAAAAGACACATACTAAATTATAGAGAAACTTTTTGCAGATGCATAAAACTCTACCAGCTGTAAACTGTAAGTACATTCAGCCAGTGTGAACATCTATCATAAGAACTTGGCCTAAGGGAGTGTAGCAGCTCTAAATGATAAAGTAGGTTACCTGGGCTGTCCAGGGTTTTTGCTGTGGCTCAAAATCCAGAGTGCTCCTGGAGGGCTTCATTGTTCTAGAGCATCATTACGTCCTGTGTGGTCACAAGTGATTCTGCTGTAAATATAATACCAGCATTTATGGATTTGGTCCAGTTCAAGAACAATACATCGTGATGTATTTTACATCCCTATTTTAAGTATATTTTCCAAGCATTCTCTGTGCTTTAAAGAATGAAGGTGACTAGGAAAAGGGGGGTGTTTATATTTTGTTAATGTTGAATCCACCCTCAGAGTTAAAACTGACATGGTTTAACTTTAGTGAAAGGAATGGTCACTTGAATCTGCGGTAGGAGACAGACCTCTTCATTTTCCCTTTAGCATCAGGGAGAAGAAGTACTTCATCCACACAAACTAGTGGAACAAGCTCTTTTTAGATCCTCAAGGGCAAGACGGATAACTTTATAAGCCCAAAGTATAGCTAAGCCCAAGAGAGGAGAGGTAGACATTAAAATTAAAGTGCGTGTGGCATGTATCTGATGTGTGTGTGTGTGTTGTTTTTAATTTGAGCTCATATTTATCTTTTAGGAGAAAAAAATTATGTGCTTCAGTTGCCACACAACACAAACTGCTCTAACAGCTTTCTAATTTTAATTTCAGAAGTCTACAGAGCAAATGAAGAAGGTCCCTACTATTATTCTCTCTGTCTCATATAAAGGAGTCAAATTTATTGATGCAACAAATAAGGTAGGTACCTCACTTCTCTCTGGTTTAGACCCCAAATGCAGTCCTGAGTATACAATCTAAAATCCTTTGCTTCCTGTAATACCCAGCATTCCCTGCTTTAATCATCCCTTTCCCCCAAACTTCATGCTTCCTACATATACCTATAGATACACACTCATGTACACACACACACATACACATTTATACATACAGAAAGGAACCATTTGGGGGAAGGGCTTGACCTGGGATTTCTATAAATATTGTGCTTTCACTTTTTCATGATGATTTCTCTAGTGGACTGTGGCCATTTATTATCTAGCATGTCCCTTTGGATCTGGAGAACATTGAAACAGAAAACAAAAATCACTTGTAAGTTGAAAAGTCAACAATGTCATCACTCCTCCATCAGAAGAGATGTTACTAGAGAAAGGGCTAGAACATTTGCCTTTCTATTTATCTAGAGATATATATGTGTGTTCTCTGTTGATAATTTTTTGACTTTTTAATTTTATAACTCCATTTAATTCCCAGCCTCTGAGATAGGAGAGAGTTTCAGCTATATTGTTTTCTTAAGAGACACAATCAGAAAAGCATCCCAGGCCGTGCTCTGGCTCCACTGTGACTTCTTCCTCACAGTGGGACTAGTTTGTGGGCTGTGATGTCAAGTGTGGTCAGCAGGATTGCATTTTACAGAAAAAGCATTCCTTTCTCAACAAAGACAACAATGCTGATGAACTAGAAAGCTTGGGTATGACCATTGTTCCTCTCCATAAATTCAAAGCTGACTGGCTTCTCCTCATAAAACCCCAAACGCTCATGTGTTTTATCCCTGCATCCTTTCAGCTAATAAAGTACGGAAAGAGGATAAAAGAGGTGATCACCATTAGTGAATGCTGGTTTTTCTCTGAACCTCTCACCCAGACCTCCCACCTAGACCCACTCCATTTTGGAGAAAGGGAACAGAAAATCAAGAAGCAAGTAAACTTAAGAAACAATAACTTAGGGCCAAGGGAACTAGATTTAGGTACCAGGGGAAGTCTTACAGACGGTGACTCTTTGGTGTCTGTATTAAACCCCAGCATCTGAACTGGAAGAGCCACAGGCGGTGACTCTTTGGTGTCTGTATTAAACCCCATCTGAATCAGTGACTCTTTGGTTTCTCTATTAAACTCAGCATCTGAATTGGTTTTCTGTAATGAAAGAGGTGGTTGTTTCAGTAGTTAGATAAACCCAAGTTCCCCAAATCTCCTTGAGAAAACAACCTCCCAATTATAGAAAAAGTTCTGAAACCCAGGCAAAAGTGTATAACCCAGCATCACTTTGCTGACCGATAATATCAGCATAATAGTGATTTCAACTGTGCAAAATATTGTTGATGGTTGTTGTTAGATAATTGTGGAGACTCAAGAACAATACCAATCGATTTGCTTTTTTATTTCTTGGAAGCATCTTTAGTTCCTGGTATATAAAATTACTTTCTCCTTAATAGTTGGTTTTCAAAGTTCTAACACTTTACGGAACATTTTATGGAATGACAAAGATATCATTGCCATTGCTATATCTAAATCTTAAGAAAGACTTTGGCACCTGGATTGTTTTTTCTAACTTGGAGCAACTGCCTCTATCCCATTTATGCTTGAAAAACTTAAATAGCAGTATATTTTCAGTGGATGAATTTGACACTCTCTTAGATGAACAACTATAGCAGACTTGGCTTCTGACAGTTTCTAAACATGTGGCATTTGCTCTTAGAAGTTCTTGTAGTCCTTAGGCGGTCATTTCATGATGCTGGGGGTATGGCTGGATGCAGCTGTATTAATAGCACCCCCTCTAACCCGCTCTCCACAATCAGAAGAATGAAAGAGAGCTCTGCCAGTTCCATTGTATGTTGCTTATTGACACGTAAAGGGACACAGCAGTGATGCTCCTTTGCCTAGAGGAGATACTTTTGCTTCAATTGCCAATAATTAGATGAGTTATCCATAAACCTCTGCTCACTGATGGCTACTCTTGGAAGCAAAAGCACAGAAAGATATGCAAAAGATAATTCTATGTAAATAAAGATGCTTAGTAAAGAAGGTCAGCATATTTTTTCAAGTCCTTGCAGTGTGGTCCTCAACATATTTTCAGAATCTAGAGAAAAGGCAAAATGCCTATGTTGGTGGCAAGTGGAGCCAATCTGTGAATGTATGACAACATATGTCTGGGTTTTTCAGGAATTGGAAGATGTTAATTTCAACTGGCTATACAGGGTCCACATCCCAGTGACCTGCAAGGTAGCTGATCTCTCCCAATATGACAGTGGGTAGGGAGAAAGAGGGTGACTCAGGGCAATAGTCTAGCAGTTGCCATGTGGGGAGTCAAAGTAAAGAGATTGTGTTTAAAAGGATAGAAGAAAGAAATAGTGGGGGCTGGGCACGGTGGCTCACGCCTATAATCCCAGCACTTTGAGAGGCCGAGGCGGGTGGGTCACAAGGTCAAGAGATTGAGACCATCCTGGTCAACATGGTGAAACCCCGTCTCTACTAAAAATACAAAAATTAGCCAGGCGTGGTGGCACACACCTGTAATCCCAGCTACTCAGGAGGCTGAGGCAGGAGAATTGCCTGAACCCAGGAGGCGGAGGTTGCAGTGAGCCGAGACCACGCCATTGTCCTCCAGACTGGGTAACAAGAGCAAAACTCCGTCTCAAGAAAAAAAAAAAAAGAAAGAAAGAAAGAAAAAAATAGTGGAAGGCCATGTTGGTGGAGTTGGACTGGATAAGGCTGAGAAACACTACCACCAGCCAGGGCAGGAGGACTGGCTTTCGAAGGGACAGAGGATCCACAGTTGAAGGATCATCCTCAAGTTGTGGTGTGAAATGAACCATGCCCAGATTCCTAGATTCTAGCAGTGTTTATGAGGACAACTGCCTATGCCACTTTGTTCTAGAGCAAAGAGCACAGCAGAAAAGGAGCAGATTAATTAAACCCTAGAGTCTTGCCTTCTGTTTTCACCAGGGATTTCCCCCACTGGGCAGTGTTGTGTCCGTGAGCTACTTTGATTTGAAGCAGAGGACTTGTAGTATACAAGCATATTTAAAGATCTCACCATTTCAGGTACTAGAGACCGCTAAGCCAGGAATAAGGCACAACCAAAAGATACACCTGACTATTCTTTTTTTTGAGACGGAGTCTCGCTCTGTCACCCAGGTTGGAGTAAAGTGGTGTGATCTCAGCTCACTGCAACCTCTACCTCCCAGATTCAAGCAATTCTTGTGCCTCAGCCTCCTGAGTAGCTGGGATTACAGGTGTGTGTCACCACACCTGGCTAATTTTTGTATTTTTAGTAGAGACAGGATCTTGCCATGTTGGCCAGGCTGGTCTCAAACTCTTGACCTCAGGTGATCCACCCTCCTTGGCCTCCCAAAGTGCTGGCATTACAGGCGTGAGCCACCATGCCCAACTTACTGTTCATATTTTATGTTTTTGTTGTGCTTTATTCTTCAACAGTGCTCTCCTAACGTTCCATCTCTTACTCCTGCCCTGGTCAGAGACAGGAGGTTGTTTAATCTTCCCTGAGTAGTTGGAGACCTGCAGGACTCAGTCCTGTGGCTCAGTGCTGCCTTGCAGTCACACAGCCTGTTGGGCATGAAGAATGACTAAAACCTGACTTTCTCTCTCCCTAACCTAATGCTCTTTTCTGTTACTCTGCAGCTGCCTTCCACGAATTAGTTTGAAGTGCCACGGATAATTAATTGTGTGTTAATTACTCTTCTCTTCCCATTAGCCCCCATTAGACTTTGTGAAAAATGAACCCTCCATGAAGCATTTCTTTCCTTTGATTCTAATAAATAAATGGCTTTGGCCGGATTCATGGGAAAGGGTTAGAGACCTAGTTATAAACTCATAAATGTATTGCCTAGCAACTTAGGAAATGAATCACTAATCCTGATTTAAGAAGGAGGAAGCAGAATGCGATCTTGAATTAAAAGTGGAACTCGCAATAGATTTAGCACTAAAGTGTTTTAGATAAATTACCTCAGCCTTCTGTTGATCAATAGCCCAAAGGTTGATCTAGCAGGGAATTCAGACTGGAGGACTGCAGCTGTATAGTAACAGACCCTTTTTCATGTCGGGGGTGGGGGTCTTCTGAGAGGAAACACCATTTCTACATTCAGTGCTCAGCTGAGGAGCAGGTTGCGTTTTGCCTTCCTGTGCTGACTCCCTCCTCAGTCTTCCCATCTGGCTAAATTAAAATGATGCCGTGCAGGATTTGTTTTTTGCTTTCATTGTTGTTTTGTTTTTTGAGTTTTTAAAAAATTTTTTGGGATTTGGGGACACAAAATACTTTGGAACATTTGCCTAACAAGTGCCTATTGTTTTGGGTTTGTTGTTGTTGTTGTTGTTTTTAAGAGGGTCTCCCTCTGTTTCCTAGGTTGGAATGCAGTGGTGCCATCACGGCTCACTGTAACCTCAAACTCCTGGGCTCAAGTGATCCCCCAACCTCAGCTTCCAGAGCAGCTGAGAGGCGTGTACCACCACGCCTGGCTAATTATTTTAATTTTTTTGTGGAGATGGGATCTTGCTGTATTGCCTAGGCTGGTCTTAAACTCCTGGCCTCAAGCAATACTTCTGTCTCAGCCTCCCAAAGCACTGGAATTACAGACATGAGCCACTGGGGTGGGCCTCCCATTGTTTTTGTTTTTGTTTTATAGCAAATACTCCTAAGAAGCTTGGAGACAAATTAAGACCATGTTAAGCACATGTGCTGTTCTCAGCATTGCATGCCCCACAGAGCATCACCAGTTAGCTCTCAGTCTGCACTGACGGCCCCACCCTGGAGGGAACACTGCAGTCTCCTCACTCAGGAAAAGCCTGGCCTGATGAGGAGATGTAGGCGAAAGGCCCCACCTGGCGGGGCTCACACGGAAGGCAGTGGCGAGAGGCAGATTTCTAGGCTGCATCACTTCATCATCACACACCCTTCTCAGAACCACCGTATGAATTAGCTGGACCTGAGAATTCTGTCCTACCTCTACC